AAATGGATCCGTTACACATAATACTTCCGGTATAGGAAAAAGAAAAAAAGAATGTTTTCGAGAGTCTTTAAGCGAGGTATTACTGAAATTTTACATTGGTCTTTTTTTTTTAAAAAAAACAAACATCTAGTAATTTTTAAATAAATTTTAGCCTGTCGTTGAAGTTTTAAAGAATATAAAAAAGTATGTATCCATTAATTGATTTTAGCTGAACAATTTAAAATGGTTTTTAACTAAATTCATTTTTCTCATCTATGTAGGACACTAGATCCAACAAATATATTTTGTAATCAAAATTTAATGTAAAATCTATTTTTTACATTATATAAAAATTCGATTTTTTTTAATAAGAATGAAAGTAAAATTTATCCTAATTTAATAATATTTTAGTTTAAAACACTGTATATACACAAGATAGTAATGGATTGTAATCATTCAAAAGTTAAATTTACGGTCTTATTGTCAGTTAGCTTTTTTCTAAAGTTTAAAAAAAATCCATACTCCAAAAATGAAAGAGTAAATACAATCATTTTTTCCATTGTTCTCCAACAACGTCAGTCCATTTTTTATCCTTCAATTCACTGAGGATTCCATCTTTGATCTCTCTTGCTTTGCCTACACCATCATATGCAAGGCTGGTATAAAGCTGTACTAATGTCGCCCCAGCGCGTGCATATTCTAGAGCGTCTTTAGCATCAGAAATTCCTCCACAACCTACAAGAGTCAGCTCACCATTTGTACGTTGATAAATTTTTCGTAAAGCTCTAAGTGCTAAAGGTTTAACAGGAGGTCCGGAAAGACCACCGGTTTCGGAAACCAATGATGAATCTATAGTTGATAATTACGTATAAAAAAAAATTAAGATGACTCTCTTATTTAAATATCGCTAGATTTATGATCAATTTTATACCAACCGCTATATAATGAGTTTGGTCTAGAAATTGTTGTATTAGACACAATTATACCATCCACACCGCTCTTCATAGCAGCATCAGCAATATCATCTAACTCATCATCAGAAAGGTCAGGTGCGATTTTAACCAAAAGGGCCGGATGTGGACCGCTCAACGAATTACGTGCAATTATAACCTGTAAATATAAATACCAATGTTTAAAAAAAATATCACCAAAGATATTTTCACATAATAGGAGTATTACCTCATTTAATAGCTTCTCGAAGATATCTTTCCTTTGCAGTCCTCTTAATCCTGGAGTATTTGGACTACTCACATTAACAACTAATACGTCAGCATAAGGTCCTAACGATTTTACCCCTTTAACATAATCGTCTACTGATTCAGGATCACTTGATTTATTTTTCCCTAGATTTATGCCTAGCAATTTATCATCCTTTAAACTTCTATTAATTCCTAAAGCATCAGACAATGAGGCACCGTCTGGAGATGATGCTAGAAGAGAGGCAGTGATCTTAGGATGAAGTTTTGCCGAGTGATAAAGATAACGCCGAAGGCGATCACGGAGTCGAAGTTCTACTCCCTTGTGACCGACTGAATTAAATCCGTATCGATTTATTACCGCTTTGTCGTCATGAAGGCGAAACATACGTGGTTGAGGATTCCCAGGCTGTATATAATTAATTTTTATTAGCATCCATTCAAAAATGGGAGTATCTTACTTTTGATCTAATATTTACCTGAGGTTCAGGAGTAACACTTCCGATCTCTACATAACCAAATCCAAGATCAAAAAGACTATCGATGGCTTCACCATGTTTATCGAATCCAGCAGCTAAACCGACAGGATTAGATAACTTTTTTCCCCATGCCTAATAAATCGACGACGGACGATCAGCATACCTCTAACTGTTTAGTAACTGGAATTTGTAAGTTATCTTACTCTAACTGCTAATTTTTCGTCATCCGGAAGTCTGTCTTTTGCACAAAAGCCCCACTTTGCCACCCATATAGCAAATTTATGGCTCGTCTCGGCATCAGTTACAGTTCTCAGAACAGGTGTAATAAAATATTTATGAATAGCAGCTCTTGAATCAAAATAATATTCTAAAAAAGTAACTCCCAATACAATGCTGACAGTTCCGATAACAAAATTTTTTAGTCTTGCCGTAGAAGTTGGTAGTTGTTGGGTCACAGTGGTGGACAAAGCACGGGATCTCGGTCTAACAAAAGCAAAATTTGGTTTGTTGACCTGATACGGTCTCGGAGTTCTTGCATAACTATACGTTCTAAAGAGAGTCATTTAATTTTTAGATTTAGCTCATTTTTAGTTAAACATCTTTTCTAATTGGATTATTCTAGAACTTTCTGATAACAATCATATTACTGTATATATTATAGTATTGGTAGTGATTATTGCTCAATTTATTATAAAAAGGGACCGCAAAACTTCAACCCTCAAGTCCTCTTTCCCTAAATTTATTTTTCACTATCCAAACCTTAGTTTTTTACTGGCTTTTTTTTTTTTCAAACAAAATGCAAATTTTCGTTAAAACTCTTACCGGTAAGACCATCACTCTTGAGGTCGAGTCATCTGACACTATTGACCAGGTTAAACAAAAGATTCAAGACAAGGAAGGAATCCCCCCAGACCAGCAACGTCTCATTTTCGCTGGTAAACAATTAGAAGATGGTCGCACTTTGTCAGATTATAACATTCAAAAGGAGTCAACACTTCATCTCGTTTTACGTCTCCGTGGTGGCATGCAAATTTTTGTAAAAACTCTTACCGGTAAGACCATCACCCTCGAGGTTGAGTCGTCTGATACTATCGACCAGGTT